TTTGTGTCATGATGTTGCTGTCGGACGAAGCCCTGAGCGACCAGAGGATTCTGACGGCGCTGCAGGATGCTGTGGTTTTGGTTCAGGGTCAGACTGTCACACTTCCTCCTCCATGTTTGACAGGTGATGTCTCACCTTGGTCCAGTCTCCAGCAGCACATTGGCGGTGTCTGATTGTCCAGCAAAGCTTCTGTCTCTGATTCTTGCTGCAGCTCGACCCGTCAGACCCGCAGCCTCAAGTCTTGTCTTATAAAGCTTTTGACCGGTAGAGTGGGTTTATGTTTGTTTGTTTGTTTGTTGTTTAAATCCCCAAAACGACACCATATAAAACCCACATCATCAGATGTGAAACTTCCTGATGGTCTGTGAAGGTACGTGTGACTGATGAATAAATCAAACCAACAAACTTCTGACTAACAGTGTGAACCTGCTGCTGCTCGGGGCAGCAGAGAGGACACAGATGATAAATACAAACAGGTAAACATCATGTGGAGCGTCTGTGCTGTCCAGCGTCGGTACACGCTGGAAAAACGTTGATCGTATTGATTGTAGTTCTACTTTCATTTTGCAGGGCTTGATATCGCAGTGATATAAAGAGAATCGTGTGAAAACTCTGATCAAACCAAACATGAGTCCAACAAAATGGGATGATTGTTTTTTTTATAAAGAATAAGAATTAAATGAGTTCTGCATGAGACGCTCTGACAGCAGGGAGTCAGACAACACTGTATGAACTACAGAACAACAGCTCTGTTTAAACGTCAGAGGCTTCTAATGATTCTGATCAGTTTTAGTTAATGAGCAGCTCGTTAGGGACCAGCTGTGGATCAGGGAGTTCAGCACGTATAAGGTTAAACTGTCGTCGTGTGTTTTATCGCTTATCGTTGTGTTTCTTAACATTTAAGGTCAGAAAAAGTCAAAGAAATACGACATGTTGTGTCCAGAATGCATCCAGATAATGTCTCGGTGCCTGTTTTGTCCAGAAACATATTTCTAAATGTGTGAAGGCTGTTTGTCCGGCCCTGAGTGCTGCCTGCAGGTGTCCTCTCAGGCTGCGTGTTCACCTCAACCAGCCACAGCCGGACTCGTCACCTCGTAATACAGAAAACAGTGCAGTGTGTGACATGAACCAAAGCTTCCATCAGCTGTTTGGTGAAAAACGTCCGTCAGTGTTTCCCAGTTGTCTCATTTTGTCCATTAAGGAGAAAAGAAACCAGAAACATTCACGTTTAAGCATTCACAACATTTAGCCTGGTTTTTATTTAAAAACGACTTAAACTCACAATCAAAGTAGTTGAGAATGAATTAATTATTCACTGCAGGTGTGATATGTGAACCGACATGCTGCTGAATGAATGCTGTTTGTTCAGGTTGAGTTTGGACTCCTGAGGGGAAGTTCTGTAGCCTGAGAGACAAAGCCCAGGGCAAAGAACTTCATCCAGGTAATGCAGCTTCAACATGACATCACACTGTTATCATCCAGGAGGAACATTAAACTGATGCACACGCACAAAGACCAGACACTCCTTAAAACTCTAAAATGGGTTTTCCTTTTTCCTTTTTGTTTTTAAATCACCAAAATGATGCCATTTATCATCCAGAAAT